CGTAGGTGTGAATGTGAGTGTGCTTGGTTGTCTGTCTCTAAGTGTAGCCCTGTGATAGACTGGTGACCTGTCCAGGTGAACCTGCCTTCACCCTGAGTTGGTAGACTCCAGCCCCCCCGTAACCCTGGTGAGGATTAAACGGTGTATAGATAATGGATGGATGGATGGATGGACTTTTTATTGGCTAAAAATATTCAGTTTGGGGGTATCTGCCCTTGAAGTGAATGCTTTTGCAGCTTTTCTTTTGAGAGTTTTATCAGTGTGTCATGTGACCAGCTAGAAATTTTTCTCCATAAGTACATAATTGATATTAAAATGTTTCCACAAGGCTGTTTTTCAAACAATGCTAGAATCTTACTCAAATGGACATTCCTTTTTTCTTTTCTTTTCTTTTCTTTTCTTTTCTTTTCTTTTCTTTTCTTTTCTTTTAAAGTCACTGTCAAGCTCTCATTTACTGCAATAGAAATGATAGGCACAGGCGCCCGTATAGCTCACCTGGTTGAGCGGGCGACCCATGAACAGGGGCTACAGTCCCTGACGCAGCGGTTGTGAGTTCGAATCCTGCTCACGACCCTTTGCTGCAGGTCTCTCCCTCTCTCTTCTCCCCCCTTTCCTGTCTCTCTCCACTGCTCTACATAAAGGCAAAAGCCCAAAAAAATATATTTAAAAAAAAAAAAGAAATGACAGGCAGGCTTACCCTACAGCCTCTCAATTCCTAAACTTGCCATATCTTCCTTCATGTTTGAAATGTGGAAACAACTATATATAATCATGCTTCACCTGCCATCAGATCTACATATTAGACAGTAATTGCATGTTAATACATCAGCATATTCAATACAAGATTGCGCCTCACACAGTGAAAACGTTTTTGTGTTGCGACTGTTTCAGATAGAGGTTAAATACTTGTGTCTGTTTCCTGTCTCTGACTCTGTCTGGTCTTTTCACTGCATCCAAACTCTGTTCTCTCCCTCCTTCCTCCTCCTCCACTGACAAGGTGGGAATCACCA